GTTATCTCTATGAAGCACTATGTGATGCAAACATTCAAACTGTTATGGATCACAAGCTCCATAAAGGAGAGCATTTCTCACCAATTCTTCTGAAAACAATAGAGGAATCAGAGATATCTTTGATTATTTTCTCAAACATTATGCTTCTTCAACATGGTGTATGGATGAGCTCGTTCATATTATGAAATGCAAGGATAAATACCAAAGGTTTGTTATCCCTATTTTCTATGATGTAGATGCATCAAATGTTCGCAAACAAAATGCAAGATTTGGAGATGGATTTGTGGAGTTGAAGCAGAGATTTAAACACAACCAAGAAAAAGTGCAAGAGGGGACAAATGCTTTGATCCAATCAGCAAATCTGTCTGGGTGGGATTCAAAGAATTTCAGGTAGCTTTTGTTCATGTCATTCTTCTCTTATATTTTCTTCTTTGGGCATTAAACATATCATTTTTTTTTAATTTACATTTGTGCTAGGCCTGAATCCAAACTTGTTAAAAAAATTGTTGAAGACATTTTGAGCAAATTGAATCGCAAGTCATTCTTTCATTTGGAAGGACTAGTTGGAATTGATCATCAGATTCAAAAATTGAAAAGCTACTAAGTGAAGCTCACGTTATGGGAATATGGGGTATGGGTGGTATAGGCAAGACCACTCTTGCTAGAGCCACATTCGAGAGGTTGAAAGCACAATTTGAAGCTTTCTCATTTGTTGGAAATATAAGAGCACAAATGGCAAGGATTGGATTGGATGAATTACAAGAAAAATGCCTTAAAGAATTATTAAAAGATGAGGATATTAACACATCCAATTTAAGATCCACTTTTGTTAAAAGTAGGCTTCAGCGTAAAAAAATTCTTCTAGTACTTGATGATGTAGGCAATTCTATAGCCATTGACGGTTTAATCAAAGCATGTGATTGGTTTGGAGAAGGAAGTAGAATTATTATCACATCAAGAGACATGCAAGTACTTAAGAATACTTCTGCATCTACAACGTATAATGTTGTGGAACTGGATCACCACCATGCCCTTCATCTCTTTACTTTGAAAGCTTTTAAGCAAAATGAGCCATCAAAAAGCTATTTGGAGTTATCAAAGTGGGTAGCGGATTATTGTGAAGGAAATCCATTAGCACTAGTAGTGTTGGTTGCTTTCTTTCTTCAGGTAGAGGAAAAGAAGAGTGGGAAAGTGCTTTGGAAAAACTGAATCAGAGTCTTCACAAGGACATTTTTAGTGTGTTGAAATTAAGTTTTGATGGACTTGATGACACACAGAAGAACGTATTTCTTGACCTAACATTTTTCTTGAACGAAGCATGGAAGATTTCTTTGGATTGTACAAAACGCTTATATAATTCTTCTGCACGAATTGAGATAAGTGTACTTAGAGAGAGATCTCTCATTTCAGTGCATGAAAATGGTGATATTGAGACGCATGCTCTTCTAATGGACATGGGACTTGAAATTTGTAGGCAACAACTCATATCTAACCCTGAAAAACCCACTCGACTATGGAGGCATGAGGATATTTATAATTTTTTCAATAATGACAAGGTATTAATTTATTTATTATATTCTTTATTTTCTTAATATTTTATCCTTGTCCCTGCGCGGCCAGCTTGTGTATAAGTTTTGACCAATTTATTATTTATTTATTGTAAGATTGAGTGAATTTTTTGAATAAACTGCACGAAAGCGTATGCATTTAGATTTTTCTAAAAGAAATATATCTAATTGTTCTATTACTTGTTATTTGATCACTTTTTATATATTAATAATTTTGCTCCATATAATTTTATCGCTAGGGGCTGAGGCAATTCAGTGCTTATCATTAGACATGAGCAAGATAAAAAGGACCACATTGACAAGTAGTAATTTTCAGAAGATGTATAATTTAAAGTTCCTTAAATTGTACAAGTCAGATAGGAAAAAGCCTTCGAAAGTGAATATTTATGGAGATCTGGATTGTCTTCCTGAAGAACTAAAGTTCCTTTGTTGGGTTGATTGTCCTCTTCAATCTGTGCCATGGAGCTTTTGGGCAGAGAATCTTGTTCATCTTATAATGCCATACAGTCATCTCCAACAACTTTGGAATGGAAATCAAGCAAGTGCTTTAGTTTTCTTTTTTTCTGTCGTCTCAAGATTAAATTGTTTGCCTGTCTAATTTATTTAACAATGCTCCTTTCGTTCAGAAATTTCCAAATTTAAAGGAGATTGTTCTAAGCCAGTCCAAACATCTCATCGCACTTCCCGATCTATCTGACGTCCCACTCCTTGAAAGCTTAAGCGTAGATGGCTGCAACAATTTGAATCGAATCGATTCTTCAACTATCCTGGGCAAGCTTACCAAATTTACTCTTGAGTCTTGCGAAAGGTCACGACACATAAACTTTGGTGGCTCTATTATGAATGGGACAAGAAATTCTGGGTTAGTGACGGTCAACAATTTTCTTGATCTTAACGACTTCTCACTCACTAAAGCCACAACGAAGCTCTTTGTATCTGATGATGGCAAGATCATCACTGGTTTTGAATTCAAACTCATGTTTATGCCATTCTCAGAGAATTTAGCGTCCAAGTGCCGCATTAATATTGAGATTGTGAACTCAATATTGAGGACACAAAGTTTGGCGCTCTTACTTCCCTTTGTTAGGACTGTTCATTGGTCGGAGAGTCCAATTGAGTTTGGAAATTTCAAGCAACATTTTGACTATGATCTTCACTATGATTCCTTCTTCTATAGTGAGAGGAGCCAAATAAAAATAAAAGGAGTGGCGGAAGTGAAAAAGAAAGCACCAAGCGGGCCATTAATAGTAAGAGATGTCGTGGTTGATGAATATTGAAGAAGAAGAAGATGAGGATGATAAGAATGATAGATTAACAAGAGTTCCAAACGACATGGCTCGCTGGTCATTGTTGACAGAAGTGTCGCTAATGAAGAGTGATATTACTGGAAGTGCAGGTTCGAGCATTCCTGAAGTTTTGGATTCTGAGGGCACTTGCAGGACATGAAAGTTGCGAAGGTTCTCAAACTCTGAAGGATATAAGACTGTGTTTGGAAGTTCCAACCAGAGATTGGTGTGGCCGCGACTTTTGCGTCTCATATTGTCATCCTCCTGGATGGCTCAGAGCCGTGGCCAGCGATTTATGGCCAATAACAGCGCTCTTCGTTTTTGGGACTGATATTGTCTTTTGATTATTGTCTTCACTGCATATCAAAAAATGTAATAAGCCTGTGGAGGTCGAATCAAAATGGTCATTTGAGCCACACAACTTTCTCTCCTCGTACCACCTTCATCACCTGGGTTGATGAATCAGAGCATATGGAGGCTATATATTATTCAAATCATAACTTTCTGATGTGACAGTGAAAATGGAGGCGATGATGATAATGGTGACAATAATCCCATGTCTGAAACTGAAATGAATTAAATTCAGTTTGTTTGGCTCATCCTACTTTTTACCTCGGTTATGAAAGGCAACTAACTGATTGCTATCTTAGTTTTCACCCCCCGGGGGGGGGGGACTGTATAGAAAACCAAGCGTACACATTTCTATTTTGGACATATGTGTGTGTGATATGATTACACCAACTTTCAGTTATGCATTACACAATAGGTTTTTTTTGATATGAGGAAAGGGGAAAAGGAGAAAAAACTTTAATGAGTTCAATTTAAAAAATTGAAGAAGTTGGATTAACAATTATTTATTAAGTTTTTGTACTCTTTTATTTTACATCTTTTCATTAAAATTTTATAATCCATTTTTTAATTTTTAAGATCAAGCTGGTTAAAATTTTTCATTCTTTTTCATCTTTTTATTTCCCTCATTCCAACAGTAGGGATGGTGTCTTTCAATTCTAGATTTCTATCCAGCTTGGTTTGTCAAAAATGGACCTAAGAAATGTGCTAAAATCAAGTACATACGGGGTGAGCATACGCATGGGCCAAACTTTTGTTTTAGAACGCCTTATCATGGGCCAAACTTAACTGTTCGTTGTCTTTGCTATCTTGTTCACGTTGACACTTGACAAGTCCATTGCTGCAATGCATAAGAAATTGCAGAAGAAACTTGACTTCAGAGCAACTCCCACGGCAGTCTCATTGTTTTGGTTGTGTTTCGCAACACACATTATATTCAGATCAACAACTATTAATTATGTATAGTTTCAAAATTTTTAAAACAAGAAATAAAGAATCAAAATTGAGTAAGTGATGCAGATGTATCAAGTAATGTGTCCTCTACCATGAGCATTTGGCTTATCTGAAAGACGCTATCAAGGAAGTTTTGGGGGAAGAGAAAGCTCTGTAGCAAAACAAGTGCAAATTCTCCCAGAAATAATACAAAGCTTCTAATTAGTCAATATTGAGAAAATCATTCCCAACAAAAACCATGTGTCATCAGAGTGATTAAAGTATCCTCCAGTTCCCACTTCTTGTTTCTAATTGCTTTTGCTTATGCATAAAAACCCAAGTCAATTTGACCCATCAAGCCAATAAACTAGCAACCAATTTCTTGCACTGGAGGGTAAGGGAGTCTGAATTTGAAACAAATAAAACAGGTTGTAGAGAAAAGAAAAAAGAAGAAGGTAAAATGGCTTAGGTTCGGGAGGCTTAGCCGATTGGGAGGGAGGGAAGAGGCAGAGTGTTCACTGAAACCAAGGGCCCATATTTTACTAAATGAGGGAACGACACCATTTTCCTTAAGTGGAGGCAGAGGGGAGAGACAATATAATGGAGACATTCCGAGTCCGAGCCGGGGACAACTTGACTTGTTGACCCCAGAGGCAGGAATGATAGTGTGGCACTGCGGAGGCAAGGGGCAGGGAACCCCAAAAAATAAAATCCATTTCTAACGTATTAAAAATCAGATCATTAAATAAAATGATTGAGGCACTAGTTTATGAATTAGTGGATTAGATCGAAGTCATTTTAGAATCAGACCGGTAATAATTAAAATAATTTAATTTAATTAAAATATATTCAATTATTTATATTTTAATTATAAAAATATAATATTTGATCTTTGAATAAATCTTCAAATCACAAAATATTCGAATGTATATTAAGTTTTCCCTCCAGCATTTTTTTTTGGTTCTCTTCCCCATGACCCAATCTTTCCTCCTGTTTTCTTAATTATTTTTCTCTTCACTTCACACGTGTTCGCTTACCTCCCTCTTCTCCTCACACATCACGTGCTCAAGTATGTTTGTATGATTTCTCTGTTTAAAAAAAAAATAAAAATAAAGAAACAACTTTTCTTATTAAGCAATGTCATTGAAAAGTAACACGATTATTTATTAATTACTTTCTATATCTTTTTATGAGAGATAATTAATTGAATTATGTTGTTAAAAAATTAGTTAAAATTAGTTAGTGTTAAAAAAATAAGATTTTTCTAAAAATATCACTATGTTATGAAGAGAGTGGGTTTAAAAAAAAAAAAAAAGAATTTACCACCTAAACAATTAATAATAAATGCGGCAGGAGGAGACGAGAACTTGATCCTTTGTATCTTAACCACTTGTTTGAAAAATCCAGATATAATATCTTATAAAATATCACTCCTACACCCTTATAAATAAAAAAATGGATGGTCCAGA